ATGGTCCATCACACATGTCTTTTGTGAGGATAACATGGTTGTTGATGCCCTTGCTAAGAGGGCTGCTGCTGGCCCCGGTGCTACTGTGCGACGCCACCAAATTATTTTTCTTCTCTTTTATTACATGATCTAGCGCAAGTGCCCTTTCATGGGGTTGTACCTTAATTGTTTTCCTCTGGTTTTTTATTAATGAAAAATGGGTAGGGGGCCTTCTCCCCCACTGACTTACCCAAAAAAAAAAATTGGGTCTTCTCCATCGATGGCGCAAAGAATCTTGGTTCCAGAAAAAAACTCACAATTAGGGAAGCTTAAGAAAAACTCTTAGAGAGCATCACGTGAGATTTCCTTGACCAGGGCTTAACACATGAGCATGGGGCAAGGACCTAGGGCTAGGGCTTCTGTGGCTTGGGCATGCCATCCATAGGGTTAACCCTTTACTAAACCCTAATTTGGATGAGAGAAGAGAGAGAACGCTTGAGTGGGCACGCCACCTTTGGTTGCCTAGAGAGAGAGATAGAAAGATAAGAAAATAGAACACCATAACTACTATATATAGACAAGAGGCTAAGGTTTCTAGGATTAGGGTTTTGCCATCATCATGGGATTTAATCTTGACCTTTGATCTTGGAGACCTATGGGGTGAAGAGATCTCAACCATTCATTCCTTAAATCATCCATCATTGATTAAAAGAATGATGTGGAACCTTATCCCTCAGTTTTTGTAACTCCATCCCATCAAATATTTTGTGCAAAGAAAGTAATCAATCAATTAAAATTAATTTCTTACACATTCCTATTTTGAAATCAACCACAATCAATTTCTTACACCATCCTATTTTGAAACCAATCACAGTTAATTTCTTACACCTTCGTATTTTTAAATCAATCAAAATCTCTTCACAAAAAGGTTTCCTAAAATATCAAGTCAACATATGGCATAATTGTCGTTTTTCAGTTTAGGAAAGTATTGAGGAAGTGGGTGCCATGTGGGCTTCAGACCCCCACAATATGGTGGGCCCAATGAACGCAATGGGCCCCCAATACCTTAAACATAATTTTCAGAAAATAAAATAAATTTTCTAAAGCCTCGAAGTATTTTATTTTTCTTTTTGATTAAAATAAATCCAAAAAATTGATTTTTCGGTATTTAAAAATCATATTTCAATAAAATAAATACTTAGAGAGGTCTAAAAATTCATTTTAATTATCCGAAAAATAATTAAAACATATTAAAACATATATAAGAAAGTTTGATGGAATTGGTTCCTTAGAGTTAGGATTACGACAAAAACACTGAGGACTCCATCCTCTCTAGAGATCACATCTCACTGCACCTTCTCTAACCGACCCAAACGTTCCCATGACCCACAGCTTATCGTAAGGGTTCATAATGAGACCATCAAAGTATGCCAACAAGAGTAGAAGATACGATCCTAGATCATGGATTACAGGTCCCTCCCTAAGGATAAGTCCATAGCCCATTTCAGCAGTATGCTTTATGGGTCATTCCAACACAATCTAATGTTGTAGGGAGTCATCTCTTCCGCCCATATACACGTCACACACCCTTATCCAAAGGGTTGCTTCCGGGACGACTATCTGTAATGATGAGGATTTAGGCCCTTGTCCTCTCAAGCCGTCCATCGCACATAGAAGTCAAACCAATGTCCCCTGGCTAACTGTCCTGGGCAGATTTTCGACCTCATCTAGGGATAATCCCACATCTACCCTTATCGATTGTGCTTACACGATGCCCAGGACTATGGGTTTTGGAATTCACATTGAGTCTTAGCCAGTCAAAACTCATGTGAGTTTAAGGCGTTATCAATACCCTGCAGTCCAAGCTGGACCATACTCCCATAGGAGTCAATAATTGATTAAATATTTTCAGTAGATGCTCTCATAAGGCCTTTAAATGGCCACAAAACCCCAATATCTCCTACTTAGCCTTTGAAGGCCTTACAGTCTCTCTTCCTCATTTTCTCTCATCTCCATCCCATGTACATGTTTGGTAAACACATTCACCACTAACCCCTTAGTTAAAGGGTCCGCAATCATTGTCTCTATGGGGAGATACGAAATCTCTATCTCTCCAAGTTGGACCTTATTCCGAATGTAATAGTATGCCGGTTTGATATGCTTGGACTTCTTTTGGAAACGTGGCTCTTTAGATACACATATTGCCAGTTGGTTGTCACAAAGATTCTCACACAAGGGCATCTCACAGGCTCAAACATTAGCTAATTGAGAAACTTCATTATCCATGCAGCATCCTTGACTGCTTGACAACACGCCATGTATTTGGATTCCATAGTAGATATTGCCACCACATCTTGTTTCTTGGACATCTACGAAACTGCCTCACCGGCCAGCATGAAGATATACTCAAATGTGGACTTGGCGTCATCAGGGTCTCCTTGATAGTTTGCATTTGAGTACCCTTGACTATGTCCATCCCCACTCCATATGTGAGTGCATAATCCGCAGTACCTCTCAAATATCTGAGTACTCTCTTAACTGTCTTCCAATGTTCCAATCTAGGATTGCATTGGAAGCGGCTAACCACATTCATGGGAAATGATAGGACAGGTCTGGTTCTTGACATTTCTTACATGAGTGACCCTACTGCACTGCGATAGGGGACTCTTTCCATGGCTTTCTTTTTATACTCTTTCGTCGGCACATTTTCAGGCTTAATTTGGTCCTTTTATCTATAGGGGTAGATATGGGCTTACATTTGTCCATCTCAAACCTTTCCAACACCCTTTTGTAATAGGTGGCCTGGGAAAGTTGAATGGTCCGCTTTTGTCTATTTCTTGTTATCTTTATGGCCAATACATATGATGGTTCCCCTCTGTCCTTCATATCAAAGTGTTGCAAAAGGAAATCCTTTGTCTCCCTAACTAGAGCCATCGAGCTATTGACAATCAACATATCGTCCACATATAATGAGGTAAAAGCCACATCACTCCCACTTGCCTTGACATAGATGTAGTAATCCTTCTTACTGGAGACGAATCTTGCTCTAGACAAGGTCTGTTTGAATTTTATGTACCACTGTCGCGAACCGTGCTTAAGGCCATAAAAGGATTTTCTAAGTCTGCATACCAAGTCCTCTTTTCCTTTTTCTATGAAGCCCTCAGGTTGTTGCATGTAAATTTCCTCAAGCTCCCCATTCAAAAATGCTGTTTTGACATCCATTTGGTGGAGCTCAAAGTCAAAATGGGCTGCTATAGAAATCAAGATCTTAATGGACGAAAATTTTGCAACTGGAGAAAACGTTTCGTTGTTTTGATGAGCCCTTTGGTTACAAGTCTGGCTTTGTATTTCTCTAGTTTTCCTTCAGAGTTCAAGTTTTTCTTTAACACCCACTTGCATCCTATAGACTTTCGGTCATGAGGTAGAGGCACTAATTCCCAAACCCGGTTTTGAATGACGGAATGATATTCTTCGTTCATGGCTTTTTCCCATTGGGTTCTTTCAGGAATGGATAAGGGACTAAATCATATTTTAATAAGATAAAATACCTAGAGAGGTCTAAAAATTCTTTTTAATTATCTGAAAAATAATTAGAACATATTAAAACATATCTAAGAAAGTTTAATGGGAATTGGATCTATAGAGTTAGGATTACGACAAAAACATTGAGGACTCCATCCTCTCTAGAGACCTCATCTCACAACACCTTCTCAAACTAACCTAACTGATACCATGATCCACAACCCATCGTAGGGGTTCATGATTGGACCATTAAAGTCAGCCAATGAGTGGAGAAGATACGATCCTAGACGATGGATTACAGGTCCCTGCTTGAGGATAAGTCTAGGGCCCATTTCTGCAGTATGCTTCATGGGTCTTTCCAACACCGTTCAGTGTTGCAGGAAGTCATCTCTTCCGCACATGTACATGTCACACACCCTTATCCAAAGGGTCGCTTCCCTAACAGCTATCAAGTGCACATGCCGTGTGATGGTAATGATGAGGATTTACGTTCTTGTCCTCTCAAGCCATCCATCACACACACTGGTCAAATCCATAACCCCTGACCAACTATCCTGGGCATATCCGACCTCATCTAGGGATAACCCCACATCGAAACCCTTATCGGTTGTGCTTTCATGATGCCTAGGACTACGGGTTTTGGACTTCACATTGAGTTATAACAAGTCAAAAACTTATGTGAGTCTAAGGCATTGTTAATGCCTTACAATCCAAGCTGAATCATACTCCCACTGGAGTCAATAATTCATTATATATTTAGTACATGCTCTCATAAGGCCTCTAAATGGCCACAAAAATCCAACAATGAAGGGGTTGAGACTAGGAAACTCAACTGGGGTGCTGATAGGGGAACTGTATGAGATGAAGTGGATGTGGCATTGAGGCTGGCAAGGAGTGGGGAGAAACTACAAAAAGAGATATCCCCGTCCCCCTCCCCCTCCCCCTCCCCCTCCCCCTTCCCCAAAAAAAAAACCAAAAAGGTAAACAAAGAAAAAGAATCTCTCAAAAAGGTGGTGGGGAAGAGGAGGAGGCACGAAAGAGCTTTAGCAGTAGACTGAAGGTAGAGTTTCAGATCTGGTTGAGAGGCAGATGCTGCTGGTGCTCCTCCTTCAACTGTGCTCCAAGGCATCCATCGACTGCCGCATAAATTTCCACTGTTGCTAAAATGACTGTTAAGACTCCTAATTTCTGAGCTTGAACTATTTAACAAAAAAAGAAGAAGACTTAACTCTTTTCTGGACATGAGATAAACGATGTAGTTATAAGCAACAGAATCTGCCTCGACTTCAGGTTAGATTATTGTTAACCTCCTTAGTTAACTGCTTGCATGACTTGCTAAATGTTGCAATATGCCTTTGTTCGCATGAGAATGAGCCTCTAGTTAAAACACTTTCTCTTTTCTGATTATCTGAAGTAGCTCTGTTTTTCTTGTACGCTAATGTTTGCTGTGAAGAACATATTTATTGAGGCTTACTGGTAAATCTGTATCTCATGTGCAGTTTGCAGCGTCAGCGGCCATCATTACATTGTGCACGATGACCAGCCTTTTCCAGTATAGTGACAAAACTGTGGTGTTTATATATTTCTATTTGTTTGGACTCAGTGCAATCATGCTCTCATTTTTGATATCAACATTCTTCTCACGAGCAAAAACAGCTGTTGCTGTGGGAACCCTTTCATTTCTTGGAGGATTTTTCCCTTACTACATGGTCAATGACCCTGCTGTACCCATGTCAGTCATCTAACCTGCACTAGTTCTATCCTTCAACTTCTTTGTACTATGTGGTGATGAATACTCATTCTCGTATATCTATATGTAGGGTGCTGAAGGTTTTAGCCTCATTCTTTTCTCCAACAGCCTTTGCACTTGGAACCATTAACTTTGCTGACTATGAGCGTGCTCATGTTGGAGTCCGTTGGAGCAATATCTGGGAGGTATTTCTATGATTTTTTACTACTTGTGTATCCTTTTTGCATTTGATGACTGTTTTTTAAGTTAATTATTATAATGAAATTGGTTGCTGTAGGATTCTTCTGGAGTAAACTTCTTGATGTGCCTCTTGATGATGATGCTTGATACGATTCTATACTGTGTGATTGGACTCTACCTTGATAAGGTTTGTAATGTTATCCTTTAAATCATTTTTAGCTTATTTAGAAAATTATAGCATGCACTGTTTTGTTGGTTCTGGGCCTCCACTTTGTCTGTCATTGTGAGATTTGGGAAGTTCATCCATATTTTGGCTTGAACTTGTATGAAAGGTACTGAATGTTATTGTAATGACAATCTGTTTTCATGTTATTTCACTTGAATGATAAGTACATATTTTTTTTTTACAGTTGATATGGATTGAATGAAGCAAAATGTTAAAATTTTCTACTAGTAGTTCTTTCTTAAAACAATATCATCGTCATCATCATCATCAATTATCCCAACTAACTAGGGTCGGTTACATAAATCCGATTCAGCCATTCTGCTCTATCAAGGACATAACTTCAATAAGATCATAAGTCCTCATATCTTTTGTCACTGCTTCCATCCATGTCCTTTTGGGCCTTTAATGCGAGAGAATTTGAGGGAACAATAAAATTAGCAAGGAATAAGCCGAGCACAAGGACAAGTAGAAGAAACCTAGCTTTTCTTCTCCATACCGCAAGCTAGGGTAGCTTTTCTCTCTTTCAATTTCTAAAAATCATGTGGAATTAACCCCTATTGGATCATGAAGCAAAATCTACAAAAATCCCTATTCTATAGCCCCTTGTCATTGCCATGGGATGATCAACAAACCATAGGATGTCACTGCCATGGGATGTCACTGCCGAAATCACAAACCATAGGCGGATGATCAACAAAAACTTGCTGAAATCAGCAAGATCTAGGGTTTGTTGTTGATCTAGGGCACAATATCGATGCTCTTTTAACTCCGTACAGTGCTACAGTAACGACGTACATTGCTATAGTACTTTCTATGTAGATCGTGGGTTCTGATACCAATTTGATGCTAGAGAGTTTGAGGGAACAGTAAAATGAACGAGGAACAAGCCAAACACAAGCGTTGGTCGAAGAAACCTAGGATTTCTTCACCATATCCCAAGCTAAGGTTCCAAAAGCGTATGTTTTTCTCTGTTTCAATTTCTAAAGATCATCTGGAATTAACCCCCTCAAGGCCTCACACACCTCCAATATATTATGATTCGATGTTCCAAGTTTGTTCAAATAAATAATACATTGACCTATATATACTAGCTTAAATTAAATTTTGTAATGACAATTTTACCCCTATGAACAATACTCATGAACGATACTTGTGAATAGTACTCATGAAATAAGTGAAAAATATAAAAACTCTAAAGTTCTTTAAAACTAAAAACTTCTAGAAATAAACCTTAAAACTAAAACTATGAAATACATCATTTGAAATTATATATAAAATAAAAAGTAAAGATAATTTTGCCCTCCATTCACCTTCCTCTTGGTCTTTTAGAGCCTTCTTCTTGAACAAAATCGCAGCTCCTAACCGGTGCTGTATTGGGTTTGCGCTGCACTTTGCCAGCTAACCTAAGTATGCTTTCTCTCATTTTGTCACCTATTGAAGCCACACAAACTCCCTCATGTGTATTAATTTTGAATTCTATTCTTTCTTGTCTTACCAATTATCGATCTCAACATTCTCATCTCAGCTACACGCATCTTTTGGGTATGTTGTTTCTTGACTGCCCAACATTCCGTCTCATAAAGCAAAGCTAGTCTCACAACTGTCCTATGGAATTTTCCCTTCAGCTTCATTGGTATGCGGCAGTCATTTTATTTCTTAAAACGATGACAACATAACATTGGAAGTCGTTCAACGAATGGCATTTTAAATGAAGTACAACTATCGCCTAGCTCCATTCCATCCCAGGAACACCAATTCTTTGCTAGCAACATCTCATCTTTTGGAATGAATCACACAAGAGCGTGTTTCTTGATAGGGGTGCTATCTATCTTGTAAGGAATGTGTATCTATTGTCTAATTTGTCTAAATAAATTTTAAGAATCACTTTTTGTACCTATGATACTGCTTATGGTTGAGTGTTAATGCCCTGGAGCTTGACTTCCATCTCTACCAAGTTGAGATTGCCATGCAAAGGGACCTTTTCTTACTTTGCTAAGCGAGTGGGGGTTTGTGTGCGATGAAAGGTGGACTATGTAACTGGGCAAGTTAATACCAATTAAAATTGTTTCTACTCTTTTATACGTATTGTCACCCCGATCACTTACAAGTGTCCAAAATACAATTTTGACTTACTGAAATAGTCAAGACTTCTCACTTGCATGCCATTAAAAGAAAATTACATTCATCATGTAGCATTAAATATTACATAAGAAAGCAAAATAAGAAGCAACAGAAGCACGAAATCATGAAACAACTCGTACCTTACGTTAGGTTACCCCCAAGGACTTCGTACACCCCAAACCGGGTCTCCTCTACTGATGACGCACGAGGTCTCGATTAAAGAACACACCTGACAATTAGGGAAGCCTAGGCAAAACCCTTAGAGAGCATCACATGGGATTTCCTTGACCAAGGCTTGACACATGAGTATGAGGCAAGAACCTAGGGCTAGGCCTTGTGTGGCTTGGGCGTGCCATCCCTTAGGGTTAACCTTTCTAAACCCTAAATTTTAATGAGAGAAAGAACGAGAGAGAAGGCTAGAGTGGGGCGTGCCCCCATTGGTTGCTTGGAGAGAGAGAGATAGAGAGATGAGAAGTAGAAACCCCCTAGCTAGTACATATAGACAAGAGGCTAGGGTTAGGGTTTTGCCATTATTATGAGGTTTAATCTTGACCTTTAATCTTGGAGACCTATGGGGTGAAGAGATCTCAATCATTCATTCATTAGATCAACCATCATGATTAAAGGAATGATATGGAACCTTATTCCTCGGTCCATAATTCCATTCCCATCAAATAATTTGTATAGAGAAAAAATTTAATACATACTATTTGATATCTCACACTTTCTGATCTTGTTTCAATTCAAATCTCTACATGTTAACTTTCCAAAACTTTAAAACAACACATGCCTTAGAAGGCACATGAAACAATAATGAAAGCTTTCATGGGGTTGGTGCACCACCCATGTGGACCCCAATCCCCACACATTGGTGGGAGCATTGAACCCCATTGGGCCCCTCTTATATTAATATTAATTTTTAGATATTAAAACAAATTTTACAAAACCTCCAAATATTTTATTTTCTCTTTGCTTAAAATAAATTCAGAAAATTGTTTTTTCCTCATGTAAAAATCATTTTTCTTTAACATAAAATACCAAGAGGGGTCTAAAAATTCATTTTAATTATCTATAAAATAATTAAGACTTATTTAAATATATTAAGGAAGATTTGATGGGAATTGGATCTATAGAGTTAAGATTACGCCAAATATACTGAGGACTCCATTCTTTCTAGAGACCACATCTCACTGCACGCTGTCAAATCGAACCAACCGATCGCATGACCTCCAAGCTATCGTAGGGGTTCATGTTTGGACCATCAAAGTCATCCAATAAGTAGGAAGATACTATCCTAGACCATGGATTATAGGTCCCTCCTTCAGGACAAGTCCAAGGGCCCATTTTTGCAATATGCTCTATGGGTCCTTCCAACACAGTCCAGTGTTGCAGGGAGTCATCTCTTCTGCATGTGTACACGTCACGCATCCTTATCCAAAGGGTCGCTCGTCAGATGGCTTTCTAGTATACATGCTGTGTGATGGTAATGATGAGGATTTAGGCCCTTGTCTTCTAAGGCCATCCATCACACACAGGAGTCAAATCCATGTCCCCTGGCCAACTGTCTTGGGCACATCTCCAACCTCATCTAGGGATATCCCCACATCAAACCATTATCAGTTGTGCTTACACGATGCCTAGGATTATAGGTTTTGAACTTTACATTGGGTTATAGCCAGTCAAAACTCATGTGAGTCTAAGGCATTGTTAATGCCCTACGGTCCAAGCTGGACCATACTCCCATTGGAGTCCATAATTCTTTATATATTTTCAGTAGATGCTTTCATAAGGCCTTTAAATGGCCACAAAAATCCAACATCTCCCACTTGGCCTTTGAAGGCCTTACAATCTCTCTTCTTCACCTTCTCTCTACCCCATCCCATGTACATGTTTAGCGAATACATTTGCCACTAACTGCTTTGTTATAAGGTCCACAATCATTGCCTCTATGGGGAGATGCGCAATATCTATCTCTCCAAGTTGGATCTCGTTTCGAACGTAATAATATGCTGCCTTGATGTGCTTTGATTTCTTGGATTGCTTGAACGTAATAATCTCTATCTTTAGATGCACATATTGCTGATTGGTTGTCATAGAAAACACACGGGCATCTCACAGGCTTAAACATATGCTGATTGAGAAACTTCTTTATCCATGTAGCATCCTTGGCTGCTTGACAACATGCCATGTGGTCGGATTCCATAGTGGACAGTGCCACCACATTTTGTTTCTTGGACACCAAGAAACCTCCCAGCCAGCCAGCGTTGAGACCTACGCAGATGTCGACTTGGCGTCATCAGGGTCTCCTTGATAGTCCGCATCTGAGTACCCTTGTATGACTATGTCTGTCCCCCCTCCATATGTGAGTGCATAATCCATGGTCCCTCTCAAATATTTGAGTACTCTCTTAATTGCTTTCCAATGTTCCAATCCAGGATTACATTTGAACCGACTAATCACAGTCATGGAAAATGACAGGTCGGGTCTCGTACCTGACATTGCATACATGAGTGACCGTACTGCGCTGCGATGGGGCACTCTTTCCATGGCTTTCTTCTCAATACTCTTTAGTCGGACACATTTGCAGGTTAATTTGGTCTTCTTATCTATTGGGGTAGATTTGGGCTTACATTTGTCCATCTCAACCTTTTCCAACACCCTTTTGCAATAGTTGGCTCGAGAAGGTTGAATGGTCCGTTTTTGTCTATTTTTTGTTATCTTTATACCCAATACATATGATGGTTCCCTTAAGTCCTTCATATTGAAGTGTTGTGTAAGGACATCGTCAGTCTCCTTAACTAGAGCCATCGAACTATTAAAAATCAACATATCATCCTCATATAATGTGATAAAAACCACATCACTCCCACTTGCCTTGACATAGATGCAGTAATCCTCCTAGCTTGAGACAAATCCTAGTCTAGACAAAGTCTCTTGGAATTTTATGTACCACTATTCCGAAGCCTGCTGAAGGCCGTAAAAGGATCTTTAAAGTTTGCATACCAAGTCATCTTTTCCTTTTTCTATGAAACCTTGAGGTTGTTGCATGTAAATTTCCTCCTCAAGCTCCCCATTCAACATGGTTGTTTTAACATCCATTTGGTGGAGCTCAAAGTCAAAATGGGCTGCAATGGCAATCAAGATCCTAACAGGTGACAATTTAGCAACTGGAGAAAGGGATTCATTGTAGTCTATCCCTTCCTTTGGGGTGTACCGTTTGGCTACAAGTCTGGCTTTGTATTTCTCTTGTTTTCCTTCAAAGTTCAATTTTTCTTGAACACCCACTTGCATCTTATAGACTTTTGGTCATGGGGTAGAAGCACCAATTCCCAAAACCGTTTTTGACTGATGGAGAGGTATTCTTCATTCATGGCTTTTTCCCATTGGGTTCTTTCAGGACTGGATAAGGCTTCTTTATAGGTTGAACGCTTATCGTCAGGTTCTTCCCCAACTCTTTTATCGTGTTCCCCCTGATAGGTTAAGAACTCAGGTGGTCTTCTAATTCAGTTGCTTCTATTAAGGGTTTGTTATTCGGGTTCTCGAGTTTCAACCATGTCACTAGTCATCTCCAAGAGATCGACTTTCTTGTGACTGGATCTTGCTTCGAGAAATTCATCCTCAAAGAAGTGAGCATCCTTACTATCTAGGACTGCTCTATTCTCTAGGTTGAAGAAATGATAGCCCTTACCATGATCTAGGTATCCTATGAAGATGCATTTGACTATTTTGAGATCATGTTTGATTCGGTTTTGGTATGGGAGTAGGACATGGGCCGAGCATCCCCATACTCTAAGATGGTCAAGGTACGGAGCACGACTAGTGAAGATTTCATTTGGAGTCAATGGAGCTACCTTTGTGGGAGTACGGTTGAGGATATACCTCAGCGTTAATAATGCTTCTCCCCAAAAATTTAGGGGGAGCTTTGCATACTCCATCATGATTCGCATTATATGTACCAAGGTCCTATTCTGTCTCTCGGCTATACCATTTTGTTGAGGTGTATAGGGCATGGTAAATTGATGAATTATGCCATGCTCTGCACTCATCTATTTAAAGAGCTGTGAAGATTGGTTCTTAGGACGTTTAGTTTCTTATTGGTTTGGTTCTCTACATCGGCCTTATACTCCTTAAAACGGTTTAAGGCTTCGAACTTGGTATGCAATATATAAAATTGGCCAAAACACAAGTGGTCATCTATAAAAGTGATGAAATATGTCTTGTGGCCTTTGGTTACCACATTCATGGGACCGCATATATTGTGGATGACTTCTAAAATGTCAAAAGCTCTTTGAGCTTTCGTAAAGGGTTTCTTTATTAATTTTCTTGCACACACAATTCACATACTTTGGAAAATCCCCTTTGTAATTTTCCAATAGGCCATCCTTTCTTAATCTTTCCATTCTTTTATGATTAATGTGCCTTAATCTCATATGCCATAAATAACATCATTCTCACATTCCGGGGACGAGACATAAGCAACTTGATTCTTTATTTCAATCTCAAATAAACCATTGTATAACATACTGATCATAACGACTTCTCCACGAGTCTTAACAGTCACCCTATCAGCTGCAAAAATGGTGACGTACCTGGCCTTAGCCAATTTTGGGACTGAGACCAAACACTTCCTCTTTTCGGGTGCATAAAATGTTTGCTTCAGTACCATTGTTCCCCCACTTGTAAGATTCATAATATAGTCCCTATTGCTCAAGATCTCGGTCTTTTGATTTCCACCCATGTAAATAAACTGCTTATTGGGGTCCATGGGTTGGAAATTGCTGGATCCTTCCTTGGAGTTTGACACATGGGCTGTAACACCCAAATATTTTATTTTCTCTTTGATTAAAATAAATTCAGAAAGTTGTTTTTTCCTCATATAAAAATCATTGTTCATTAAAGTAAAATACCCAGAGAGGTCTAAAAATTCATTTTAATTATCTGTAAAATAATTAAGACTTATTTAAACATATCAAGGAAGATTTGATGGGAATTGAATCCATAGAGTTAGGATTACGCTAAATATACTGAAGACTCCATCCTCTCTAGAGACCGCATCTCACTGCACCTTGTCAAACCGAACCAACCGATCGCATGACCCACAAGCTATCGTAGGGATTCATAATTGGACCATCAAAGTCATCCAATAAGTAGAGAAGATACTATCCTAGACCATGAATTATAAGTCCCTCCTTGAGGACAAGTCCAAGGGCCCATTCTGGAGTATACTGTTTGGGTCCTTCCAACACAGTCTAGTGTTACAGGGAGTCATCTCTTATGCGTATGTACACGTCGCACACCTTTATCCAAAGGGTTGCTTCTCAGATGGTTTTCTAATGTACATGTCGTGTGATGGTAATGATGAGGATTTAGGCCTTTGTCTTCTCAGGCCATCCATCACACACAGGGGTCAAATCCATGTCCCCTGGCCAACTGTCTTTGGCACATCTCCGACCTCATCTAGAGATATCCCCACATTGAAACCCTTATCGGTTGTGCTTACACAATGCCTAGGACTACGGGTTTTGAACTTTACATTGGATCATAGCCAGCCAAAACTCATGTGAGTATAAGGCATTGTTAATGCTCTATAGTCCAAGCTGGACCATACTCCCACTGAAGTCAATAATTCATTATATATTTTTAGTATATGCTCTCATAAGGCCTTTTAATGGGCACAAAAACCCTACATGGGACACAATTATTGGAATCGAGATCGAATAAGGTATGGGATCAGAAACAAGAGCATGTGATCGTGACCAGTAAGAAGCTCCCTATGGTAGGGATCGAGGACCTTACACCCTAAAATTAGGGATCTCGAGCGTAATATGTAAGGGAGCAGGACCCAAACTATCGAGACCGAATGATAAATCATACAGGCAAGCTCCTTCTGGTTAAAAATCGAGGTGCCTAAGAGCACTTCACTATAAGTAATAAAATATAGGGAAAATTGTGGAGGGCCCCCTGATATGTACTTTGTAAACATCCAACCCCTTTTTACTTTTCATATCACACCCTTAACCCAATTACTGTTTTTCCTTGCTTTAAACCCGAACCTGCTCCCCCCCTCCTCCTACACAAGTCAAAAAGTTGTAATTTTTATGACGAACCAACCCATTTTAGTACACATACTGTCACGTTTCTGTCAATTCACATCGCATGTTGATCGAAGCCAAAAAGGGATTTGGTGTGGCACAAAATTTGCCGGACTGGTAGAATTTGGCCAAAAATGCAGTCTGGCTTGGGCACAACAAAACAAACAAGTGCAGGATCAAAAGATCATGGCCGAAAATTCGGTCTGACAAAAACTTGTGCCGGACTGGTCATTAGAAGTTACAAGCGAGTCCCACACATTTTCTGCCGGATTGCATTTTTTGCCATATTGTTCCTGTCCGACATGACACATTTCTTGCCGGACCATGGCAAAAGCAATGAAAAATGCATCTGGCACAAAAGCGTGCTTGACCAGTAATGAGGCTTTTGGAATACGGCGCCTGGTCCGACACACTTTTGTGCGGGACCAAAAGATGATCTAGCAGTCCGACACAAAAGTGTGCCAGATTGGAATCTGCCTTTAAATTCAAGAAGCCTCACTACAGGTCCAACACATTTTTGTGTTGGACCATAATTTTCCATTTTGGGCAAGAGAGAGAGAGAAAGAGAGAGAGAGAGAGCGAGAAAGAGAGAATTTTAACGGGTAAGGGAGGATTGAAAGGGTAGTTTAGTATTTAACATATTAACTTTTTGACTGGGGGGTAAAAGGAAAGAAAATCAATAATTGAGTTAAGGGTGTGATATGAAAAGTATTGGGGGGTTGGATGTCTACAAAGTACATTTCAAGGGGGTATCCATAATTTTCCCTAGAATATATGCTACTTATTTTGCCACACTGCTATACAATAATATAATGCTATGCTATATTGTACAACAATACTATTCTATCTACTATATTTTATTAATAGCATATGCTACTATACTCATATTTACTATATACAACCTTATAACTTATATTATAATATATTGTATGTAATACACTACTAGACTGCACATTGCCTTATTGTACCACTATGCTATACTACTGTAGTATACCGCACTGCTATAGTATACTATATTGCTACACCATGGTTATAATCTGGATCCCTTGTAACTTAGGATCTTGATCCCTAATAGGAAGAATCAAGATTTCAAAGATTAAAAATTACGAAGGAGCGATATTCCCTAACCTGGAGTGCAGAAATGATGCACATTGTCTCTAGCTTTTATATTTTTCTCTTGAAATTCATTCCATAACATTTCCCCTTGAAATGTTGTAAGCTAGGGTTTTCCAACTCTTCGATTTCCACTTGATTGCTAGTCGAGCTTCCAATGTCATTTACTAAACATTCTTTATCTTGCATTGAGTTCACCTTGCTTCTGTGACTGATTTATTAGGTTCTCCCTAGAGAACATGGAGTACGTTATCCATGGTACTTCCTGTTCTCCAGGGATTTTTGGCAAAAGAGTAAGAGTAATCAACATCATAGCCATTTGGATGCTGAGGTGAACATGGAGCACAAGCGCCGTGCAGCAACTCTGGGTATTGGAAAATTTTCTCCTGTTGTGGAGCCCATCAGCCTAGACATGAAAAACCTAGAACTTGATGGGCGGTGCGTGAACATTATGTTGGTTGGTAGTATTGGTTGATACCTCTATCAAAATGGTTTTTCTTACTAATTTTGATTGTATCCTTAATTCTACAACTTCTATAGATGCATCCAGATTAGAGATCTGCATAAAGTATTCATATCTACAAAGGGGAAGTGCTGTGCGGTGAACTCCTTGCAGCTTACGCTGTATGAGAATCAGATTCTTGCTCTTTTAGGTGAGACCAGACATGCTTTTACTACTTATTTCTCCCATTCTGCTGAAATCTGTTAGATATGTGAACTTTATAATTGCCATGTTGAATACTTTGTGATGTTACTTCTCCGAAAGTGATCTGTGTGAAGGGATGTTAATGAATGCGGGCCTGTCAGCAGGCTTTTGGGCTGGGCTGGGCTCGGTTTGTGCCTGCCTAAGGCGAATGGCCATGGCCCAGGCAGGGCTAGTAGGCTCGAAACATTTTCTGGCAGGGCCCAGGCTTGCACCTGCCTGAGCAGGGCCCGACCTGAAAAATTTTAGAGTATATATGAAATATTAAATACTTCCTTTTGCATATATATATATATATATATATATATATATATATATTATGTTCTTTAGTTTTTCGTTTCGGTCCGTACGTCGTCCGTCCCGTCCTACTCTAGTA